ACCCTACTTCATCTGACCCTCCTTCATCTGCCCCTCCTTCCTCTGACCCTACTTCATCTGACCCTCCTTCATCTGCCCCTCCTTCCTCTGACCCTACTTCATCTGACCCTCCTTCATCTGCCCCTCCTTCCTCTGACCCTACTTCATCTGACCCTCCTTCATCTGCCCCTCCTTCCTCTGACCCTACTTCATCTGACCCTCCTTCATCTGCCCCTCCTTCCTCTGACCCTACTTCATCTGACCCTCCTTCATCTGCCCCTCCTTCCTCTGACCCTACTTCATCTGACCCTCCTTCATCTGCCCCTCCTTCCTCTGACCCTACTTCATCTGACCCTCCTTCATCTGCCCCTCCTTCCTCTGACCCTACTTCATCTGACCCTCCTTCATCTGCCCCTCCTTCCTCTGACCCTACTTCATCTGACCCTCCTTCATCTGCCCCTCCTTCCTCTGACCCTACTTCATCTGACCCTCCTTCATCTGCCCCTCCTTCCTCTGACCCTACTTCATCTGACCCTCCTTCATCTGCCCCTCCTTCCTCTGACCCTACTTCATCTGACCCTCCTTCATCTGCCCCTCCTTCCTCTGACCCTACTTCATCTGACCCTCCTTCATCTGCCCCTCCTTCCTCTGACCCTACTTCATCTGACCCTCCTTCATCTGCCCCTCCTTCCTCTGACCCTACTTCATCTGACCCTCCTTCATCTGCCCCTCCTTCCTCTGACCCTACTTCATCTGACCCTCCTTCATCTGAATCCTCTCTATCTGACCCTCTTTCATCTGACCCCTCTCTATCTATCCCTCGTTCATCTGACTCCTCTCTATCTGACCCCTCTCTATCTGTCCCTCGTTCATCTGACTCCTCTCTATCTGACCCCCATTCATCTGACTCCTCTCTATCTGATCCCCCTTCATCTGACTCCTCTCTATCTGACCCCCCTTCATCTGACCCCTCTCTATCTGACCCTCCTTCATCTGACTCCTCTCTATCTGACCCCCCTTCATCTGACTCCTCTCTATCTGACCCTCCTTCATCTGACTCCTCTCTATCTGACCCTCCTTCATCTGACTCCTCTCTATCTGACCCTCCTTCATCTGACTCCTCTCTATCTGACCCTCCTTCATCTGACTCCTCTCTATCTGACCCTCCTTCATCTGACTCCTCTCTATCTGACCCTCCTTCATCTGACTCCTCTCTATCTGACCCTCCTTCATCTGACTCCTCTCTATCTGACCCTCCTTCATCTGACTCCTCTCTATCTGACCCTCCTTCATCTGACTCCTCTCTATCTGACCCTCCTTCATCTGACTCCTCTCTATCTGACCCTCCTTCATCTGACTCCTCTCTATCTGACCCTCCTTCATCTGACTCCTCTCTATCTGACCCTCCTTCATCTGACTCCTCTCTATCTGACCCTCCTTCATCTGACTCCTCTCTATCTGACCCTCCTTCATCTGACTCCTCTCTATCTGACCCTCCTTCATCTGACTCCTCTCTATCTGACCCCCCTTCATCTGACTCCTCTCTATCTGACCCTCCTTCATCTGACTCCTCTCTATCTGACCCTCCTTCATCTGCCCCTCCTTCATCTGCCCCCCCTTCATCTGACCCTCCTTCATCTGACCCTCCTTCATTTGCCCCCTCTCTATCTGTCCCTCGTTCACCTGACTCCACTCTATCTGACCCTCCTTCATCTGACCCCTCTCTATCTGACCCTCCTTCATCTGACTCCTCTCTATCTGACCCCCCTTCATCTGACTCCTCTCTATCTGACCCTCCTTCATCTGACCCCTCTCTATCTGACCCCCGTTCATCTGACCCCTCTCTATCTGACCCTCCTTCATCTGACCCCTCTCTATCTGACCCTCCTTCATCTGACTCCTCTCTATCTGACCCTCCTTCATCTGCCCCTCCTTCATCTGCCCCCCCTTCATCTGACCCTCCTTCATCTGACCCTCCTTCATTTGCCCCCTCTCTATCTGTCCCTCGTTCACCTGACTCCACTCTATCTGACCCTCCTTCATCTGACCCCTCTCTATCGGACCCTCCTTCATCTGACTCCTCTCTATCTGACCCCCCTTCATCTGACTCCTCTCTATCTGAGCCTCCTTCATCTGACCCCCCTTCATCTGACTCCTCTCTATCTGAGCCTCCTTCATCTGACCCCCCTTCATCTGACTCCTCTCTATCTGAGCCTCCTTCATCTGACCCCCCTTCATCTGACTCCTCTCTATCTGAGCCTCCTTCATCTGACCCCCCTTCATCTGACTCCTCTCTATCTGAGCCTCCTTCATCTGACCCCCCTTCATCTGACTCCTCTCTATCTGAGCCTCCTTCATCTGACCCCCCTTCATCTGACTCCTCTCTATCTGAGCCTCCTTCATCTGACCCCCCTTCATCTGACTCCTCTCTATCTGAGCCTCCTTCATCTGACCCCCCTTCATCTGACTCCTCTCTATCTGAGCCTCCTTCATCTGACCCCCCTTCATCTGACTCCTCTCTATCTGAGCCTCCTTCATCTGACCCCCCTTCATCTGACTCCTCTCTATCTGAGCCTCCTTCATCTGACCCCCCTTCATCTGACTCCTCTCTATCTGAGCCTCCTTCATCTGACCCCCCTTCATCTGACTCCTCTCTATCTGAGCCTCCTTCATCTGACCCCCCTTCATCTGACTCCTCTCTATCTGAGCCTCCTTCATCTGACCCCCCTTCATCTGACTCCTCTCTATCTGAGCCTCCTTCATCTGACCCCCCTTCATCTGACTCCTCTCTATCTGAGCCTCCTTCATCTGACCCCCCTTCATCTGACTCCTCTCTATCTGAGCCTCCTTCATCTGACCCCCCTTCATCTGACTCCTCTCTATCTGAGCCTCCTTCATCTGACCCCCCTTCATCTGACTCCTCTCTATCTGAGCCTCCTTCATCTGACCCCCCTTCATCTGACTCCTCTCTATCTGAGCCTCCTTCATCTGACCCCCCTTCATCTGACTCCTCTCTATCTGAGCCTCCTTCATCTGACCCCCCTTCATCTGACTCCTCTCTATCTGAGCCTCCTTCATCTGACCCCCCTTCATCTGACTCCTCTCTATCTGAGCCTCCTTCATCTGACCCCCCTTCATCTGACTCCTCTCTATCTGAGCCTCCTTCATCTGACCCCCCTTCATCTGACTCCTCTCTATCTGAGCCTCCTTCATCTGACCCCCCTTCATCTGACTCCTCTCTATCTGAGCCTCCTTCATCTGACCCCCCTTCATCTGACTCCTCTCTATCTGACCCTCCTTCATCTGACTCCTCTCTATCTGACACTCCTTCATCTGACTCTTCTCTATCTGACCCCCGTTCATCTGACTCCTTTCTATCTGGCCCCTCTCTATCTGTCCCTCATTCATCTGACTCCTCTCTATGTGACCCTCTTTCATCTGACTCCTCTCTATCTGACCCCTGTTCATCTGACTCCTTTCTATCTGGCCCCTCTCTATCTGTCCCTCATTCATCTGACTCCTCTCTATGTGACCCTCTTTCATCTGACTCCTCTCTATCTGACCCCCCTTCATCTGACCCCTCTCTATCTGTCCCTCGTTCATCTGACTCCTCTCTATCTGACCCCCCTTCATCTGACTTCTCCTCTCTATCTGACCCCCCTTCGTCTGACCCCCCTTTATCTGACTCCTCTCTATCTGACCCCCGTTCATCTGACTCCTCTATATCTGACTCCTCTCTATCTGACTCCTCTCTATCTGACTCCTTTCTATCTGACCCTCTCTATCTGTCCCTCGTTCATCTGACTCCTCTCTATCTGACCCCCGTTCATCTGGCTCCTCTCTATCTGACCCCTCTTCATCTGACTCCTCTCTATCTGTCCCTCGTTCATCTGACTCCTCTCTATCTGACCCTCCTTCATCTGACTCCTTTCTATCTGGCCTCTCTCTATCTGACCCCCCTTCATCTGACTCCTTTCTATTTGGCCCCTCTCTATCTGACCCCCGTTCATCTGACTCCTTTCTATCTGGCCTCTCTCTATCTGACCCTCCTTCATCTGACTCCTCTCTATCTGACCCTCCTTCACCTGACTCCTCTCTATCTCACCCCCATTCATCTGACTCTTTCTATCTGGCCCTCCTTCATCTGACCCCTCTCTATCTGACCCTCCTTCATCTGACCTCTCTATCTGACCCTCCTTCATCTGACCTCTCTCTATCTGACCCTCCTTCATCTGACTCCTCTCTATCTGACCATCCTTCATCTGACCCCTCTCTATCTGACCCCGCTTCATCTGACCCCCCTTCATCTGACCCCTCTCTATCGGACCCTCCTTCATCTGACCCCTCTCTATCTGACCCCCCTTCATCTGACTCCTCTCTATCTGACCCCCCTTCATCTGACCCCTCCCCTGCTCTGCCTCTGCAGCCTCCCTCTCCCCTGGCACAGGTCTGCACTAGCTCTCATCCTCCTCTGCCATTTCCCTGTCTTGTTATGACTGGCACCTTGTCTGCTGCCAGCTAATCCCAACTTCCTACCTGTCTGTCTCCCCTCATCCCTCCCTAGCTGTCACTCCTCCGATCCCCGGGTGTATCAGCGTGGAGAAGGAGGAGACTGGCGGGGAGGGAGGCTGGGTGTAGCCACACAACATCTGACCACCCCGAGCCATGAATATTAACCAGGGCCATGCCTCCAGCTCCTCCTGCCAGCCCCGCATAGATGAAGCAATCAGTCAGTCTGCTCACAGACGGGCTTTCAGGTCTTGCCTCTTATTGTTTGTCTCATCTTAACGCTTGCAGCTGATTTGCAAAAAAAGAAAAGGCTCGGGATCAATAATAAAATAAAAGAGGAGAGAGAGAGGGGCCAGTGATAAAAGAAAGGAGGCTGGCTTGCTGGGCATTAAACGACAAGTAGTGTGTTGTCTTCCACTCGTGCATGCTCAAATCGGCGAGCTATATCAGAGCTGTGCGGAGCTCACACCGCGATCACTGGCGTCTGAGCGGCACCCGGGACAACGGAGGCAATGCTGCTACGGAGGAGAGCCCTGATCACCCACCGATCATCCTTCAGACTTATCATTGTCCTACTATGCTTACGGGTCAAGGTATGTGTCCGCCCTTCCATCGGATCGCCCTTCTTTTTCTTCTCTTTGGGGGACACTGTGCACCCTTCCTCGCCTTGGGGGATCATCATCATGTTACTTTATTTGGCTACTTTTGATGCATCAGCAGGATGATCTTGCACCATTGCTGTAGAGGGGCTGCCACACTGGGTGCATGCTTTTTTATTTCTTTTTTGTGATTTGCTGTGATTTGCTCATAGCTGTCTTTTTTTTTTCCCCCCCCGATCTCTATAACAGGTGTCTGTAGCGTCAGGGCAGTTCGAGTTGGAAATCTTATCCATGCAGAATCCCAATGGAGAATTGCTGAATGGCAATTGCTGCGATGGCAGCCGGAGCCCCGCGGACAGGAGGTGCAGCAGGGATGAATGTGACACTTACTTTAAAGTTTGCCTAAAGGAGTACCAGTCCAGGGTGTCTGCTGGAGGGGCATGCAGCTTCGGCTCAGGATCTACCCCTGTCCTAGGGGGCAATTCCTTCAGCCTGAAATACAGCAGGAACAGTGACAAGAACAGGATTGTGCTCCCTTTCAGTTTTGCCTGGCCGGTGAGTCCTGTGGGATTGTTGATGACACTTTGATTTATGATTTATTATCCTCCCACAAGGAAGTCTTTTTTTTTTTATTTCATTTTGTTGTGGAAATGGATCTGCAACGCTCTCTACCTCCAGGATCCCATGCAGGACCTTGCTACTTCCAAACACGTGTATGCAACCACCAAAGAGGATGCCATGGTGGGCACAGGGGCAGAAGTTTGCCTGGCTGTCATGTTAAAGTGACACTACACGCAGAAGTTAAATCTTAAAAATGCATTCAAATACCTTTTAACTATTAGCATAAACTTATCTTATTTGTGTATCACTCGGCTGTAGATCCTCCTAATCATCTCTGAATTGGTGCTGACATTGTCCTTTCTTCTGGAGGGTGGCTACTTTTGTTCCCCATGGTCCTGGTGTGTGTGTTGTTCCCCATTGTCCGTGTGTGTGTTATAAAGTAGCCACCGGTCCATGCTTGCTTCGATGGACTATACCTTCAATACAAATTAGTAAACTAAATGTGAGATTGTAGTCCATCACTGGAGTGAGCTTGGAGTGGTGGCTACTTTTATAACCTACAGAAACTCAGCTGTAGATCCTCAGATCATCTCTGAATTGGTGCTGACACTGTCCTTCCTTCTGGAGGGTGGCTACTTTTTGCCCCCCACGGCCCCTGCGTGTGTTGTCCCCCATGGTCCCTGTGTGTGTTGTAAAGTAGTCACCGCTACAAGCGCACTCCTGTGATGGACTACAATCTCACATTTAGTTTACTAATTTATTGAATTTCTAGTCCATCGACGCAAGCTTGGAGTGGTGGCTACCTTACAACACACCCAGGGACCATGGGGAACAAAAGTAGCCACCCTCCAGAAGGAAGGACAGTGTCCGCATGAGTTCAGAGATGATTTGAGGATCTACAGCCGAGTGATTCACAAATTCCAGCATAGTTAAGGTACTCAAATGCATTTTTAAGATTTAACTCCTGGCTTTAGTGTCGCTTTTAACCTTTATGGCTCCAGAGCATGCAGATTGGGTGTGCAGATTTGACTGTGCTGCTTGCTTCTGGATCAGCGACTCGGAAGCTGTTAAAATCTTGAAAGCCAGGCAGCTAGCATTTTCCAGCATGGCAGCTTCTGTATTCATCTAGGCACAGGGTTTTGCTTGAAGCAGGCAATGCATCTGCTGTCAGTTGGGCAGTTCTGCTGCAAAGTGTTCATCTCTAGTCTAGCCTTGTGTAGAAAATGGCTCCAACTTGGATGAGCAGGGCTTCATGAATGCTGGAGAAAGTAGACTGTGATCTCCTACGGCTGGCCCAGGAGATAAGGAATGCCTGGCAGTGTGGAATGTTTTGCGTATTTGTGTGTGCTATACTCGTGCATTGATGTGAAGGCACACTGTATAGGAATGCTTGAGTCAAATGCATTATTCTGAATGTATTATGAGGTCAGAAGTTCGTTCTGCCGGTGTCCCAAGTAGAAGTGACGAGCTACAAGTAGACTAATCTCCTTTAAACCTCTCTAGCAGTGTCCGGCTGAGCTGAGTTGTCCCGTTCTCCCCCTCCCCTCCTGCGGTTTATGTTTGCTTACCTACAGTTCCAGGAAAGGATATTGGCTATAGTAAGTGAGGCTGATGGGCCAGCCTGGTCTAGCACCTAACCCCTAATGGCTTGTGTTGGGATCTTAATTGGCTGCTGGGGGGGAAAAAAAGCCCTTGTAAGTCTAAGATACACTTGCCACTTTTTGCATAGGCTGGGACTGTGTGAACCAAGAATGATTGACAGCTGTAGCTAACACGAAATCTGTAATGGCTCATTTGCACTACTTCCTTCTGTGAAGAACAAGTGGGCTTCCATGTGGTTTAAATTGGTAAGCCGAAGCCAGCCTGGGTGGTAATTGGCCTTCGGTAACCCAGGGGAGACTGTTATTGCTTGGGTAAGCTATCCATTTCTTTTGCATGCTTTTGGAGGCAGGCCTGGAACGAGTCCAGGAGGAACAGGGTTTAATACTGTATTCTCATACCTACCGTATCTGCAAGCGCCCTCCCTTGTTCCAGTGGTTGCCCTGCCCTTCCCCTCCAGCTGTGTCCTTCGCTCCCAGCCAGGTGTTGCAGGGTGGGTGTGCAAGTTCCACTAAATCAAGGAGTGCCACTTGGATTAATCATTGCTGTTTTTTGCTACTGAGACATTTCATACCCTGTGTAGCAGCGAGGATTCTTTCTGTCTGCAGAGAGGAGCTTTGTTAGATGTAAAATCCTTTTGGTTGAAAATAAACTGCTTACTTAGGGATCCATTGCCCCCTCTAGTGTGTTTGGTGTGTGAGGTCTTAAAAATTAATTTCCAGGGACATTGCTGTATTCGATTTCAGCTAATCAAGCACAATGCCCATATCTTGGCACACTATATAACCCAAAAAGACTTTTATCATAAAGATTTTTTTTTTTTTTTTTTGCATGTTCAGCTTGTAGAAGCTCCAGAGAACGTTGATAGGTGACTACAGTTGATATGAAGGAATGTATAGCACAGCTCATCCGTTTTGAAATTTTAAAAAGCAGGGACTGTCCTATTAAAGGAAAGTTGGCAATGATGATGGCCGCACTAGTACTTTAAAGTGCATTTGAAGAATGGATTATAAAGATCGTTTGTATTTGAGGTTTTATTAAGCTTGTGAAAAGTTTACACTGAGCTTATTCAGGTGGATCACTGCTGAGTATCACATGTGTTTGCACTTGACAAAATAATACAGCTTGTCATGTACTCAGAATATGTTTTGGCTGTTGTGCAAACACTGATTTCTGCATACAAACAACATCTTTACCCATAAACGTTGCTACATCTCCCTTCACTGTTGGCCCACCATTTGAATAAAGTTGATAGAGACTCTGCTGCCACTATCTTAGAATCTTTACTAGTAAATATTTCTTTTTTATTTCCTCAAGCATTTGCAAATGGCCATTAAAAGCTCAGGGCAGTTTTGAAAACATTTTAGCTATAATTGCGTCGTTTTTTTTCTACTTCTTTACACCCTCCCCCTCCGGTCGTCAAATTAACTGGATGTCTTGCCTGCTTGTGTGTGGGCACCCAATGCTTAACCTTGGAGGGAGTTTAATTGGCTCAAAGGCCAGTTCTCTTGTCTTGTGGTGGTTTTCACTCTCGAGCTTTCAACCTTGTTGTTGCCCAATGGGACCACAGTTATTAAGTAATGAGGCCACCCCTGTTGTAGCACAGACCAGTATGGAGCCAATCACAGTCGGGGCTTGCTATATTGTCATTTTCCCTGGAAGTTTGTGTTCAACAGTCTGATTTACAAGTGTATCGTATAACACTCCTAAAAAGAATGCAGAAGATTTTTTTTTCCTTTGTGTTGGGAATGTCTCCTATTCCTCCGCTGTGTCAGCCTAGTTTCTTAAACTGCAATCCTAGAAATGTTTTTTTTGTTTTGAAGAGATACTCGGTTCACACAAGTAGCCTCTGTTGGTGGAGAGAGCCAGCTTTTGCTTGCAGTGAGATAAAACTGTTATCAAATATGCCATCAAAGGGATAAAAGGTTTTATAAAAATCTGCGGTATTTGAAGTACTGCCAATGCATGTAGTGCCTCCATTGTTGTGCCATTTGACTTCTCTTTCCCAGTCTTGCTTTGAAGGAAGGGCTGGTTCGGATGTTTGCCTACTAACCAGAGGAAATAAACTCAGGTGTTTGATCCTGAACACACTTATTATGTCTTGATTTATGAAGCACTACAGTTTCCTTATCCAGCAAGAGGCAGGACACCTTACAGGTTCATTGTCCTTAAAGGGGTATTGCCATTAAATGCTGCCTTTTTAACTTTTTTTTTTTTTTGTAAAACCTTTTTACAGTGAACTTATGTTCCCACACTTTAACCTTTTTTTATAGGTTATATGTTATGTATAATAGATCTTCACTACAATTTCACCAATAGGGGGCGCTGGTTCAGTGCAGTGATATGCTCTGCATTTGATTTCAGTTTATGAACCTGTGTAGCACGTCTAATAAAAATGTGCCAAGGCAAAATGTTTGTAGACATGGTAGTGTGGTTTGTGACTTTTTATTTTTGAGTTTATCTAACAGCATAGTGCAAAGAACAATGGCAACAAATTGGCAATTGGTTTACTTAGGGTGCCTACCTACAGGCCTATATTGCCAAAAAAAGGGCATTTTAGATCTAATTTGATAATTATGTATAAACTGGCCTTTTTGTTTCCCTCCTGTTATCAGTTCACATGAGGATTGCAATATTTTCTTGTTTGCCTCATATTCATTGGATATCTTCCACATAATTGGGGAGATTTGCTAGGGCTGCAACAACTTAGTTGCTCATATTGCCGCATTTACATACATAGGTGTGCTTTAAAAGGGTAAAGATCAGGGCTACAGATTCTCTAAGCCAAGTTGGTTGGCCTAGTCTTTATGCTGGTGGCTAGTCCCCACTTTGCAGCTGATTTCTGATTGGCTGGCATAGGCGACTGTGCAGAACCAGTAAAAGGGCTCAGTTGGGGTAGCATATGTAAGTTTAGGTGCAGTAGAGATCTATCTAACCCACTTCATTTCTGTGCCTTGTATAGGCTATAAGTGATGATGGGCCTGCAGTGACTTGGGGGCATGTTTACACCTGTGCCTTTTTTATGTGTGCTCCAGAGCAGGATCACAGCAGACTAAAAGCACATGATGACAAGTTTCTATTATAATCTATGAAGCTGTTCACATCAGTGCCTTGCATTTTGGTAAAAGCATGCATTCCATTATAATCAAGGCAAAGCATGGAAAATACACTAAAAACCCAGGGGAGAATGTATCAAAACTGGAGCAGTTGCACAAGGCAACCAATCCGCTTCTCACTTCAGATTGTTCAGTTAGGAGTTGAAAATGAAAGAGAAGCTGATTGGTTGCCATGCACAGGTGCTCTAGATTTTTGTCTGCTCCAGTTTTGATAAATTTTCTTCAATGAGCAACCAATCGGCTTCTCTTTCCCAACAGAACAAATTGAAGAGAGAAGCT